GGAGAGAAGCGGTACATGCTAGTTGGACCCAGAATGAGTATAGGATCTACCATAGTTCCGGGTAGCCATGCAAATACTCTAGTGCTTCCTGATAGGAGACGCACATCCGAAGAGGTAAGAAAGACTTTATTTAAACAGTTGTTTTGAGAGTAGTTCACAATTCTCAGACATTCCAAAAAATACTGACTCTACATATATAGAGCTTGATTTCCGTTAATATAAATATGTTCAAAGTGCTGCGTTAAACTTTCTCTTTATCACAGCTGAATAGAAATAGAACATAAATTTGTAGTGTGTATTCATCACCCAAACTAGCTGTGTGTGTGTTAATGAGATCGTTGTTGTATGTGTTTGCTAACAAGTAACGAGGTGATCTGTTAAAATCATAAATTAAACTACAGTTAGTGTGCTGTGGTTTAATGTTAATTTTTATCCCTTTTGCCTTTGAAACTGAAAATATCTAATCAATCAGAAACAGACAACCTTTCGACTGAACATGAAAGATTTAATTTTTAAAATTCAAGAAAAAAATAATTGCTTTTCAGAACTAGAACACCTGAAACATTTCTTTGGTAGTTTTCCCACTTTAGAGGCCCTTGACAAAACTGTAGCAGATTTCAAGGAATTGCAGGGAACTGAATTGTATCACTGAAGTTACTGGGTGTTCTATATTTTCCAAATGAGGAAACCACAGTGATGACCTTTTAGAATGATGGGCGTGCTCAGAGCAAATTATGGCGCAATTTCTGACGTTTAAAAGACATTATCGATAATGACACCGTGTTTTAATACATATAATGCTGTCTTATTGTCGTTGGATAGTTAAATCTATAACGCGCATGTTTATTTAATTCCCATAACATTTATGTGTGCTGAAAGTGTATCAGACTTTGTCGGTGTGCGTCTGCCCGTGGTCGGTAGTGTTGCTGTCCGTAGTGCTGAAAGTTGTTTCAGTACTACAAGCCTTTTTATTAGAAATAATACAGAAATAACTCATATAGATTTCCAAAGAAGGAACCTTACAAATCATCGATAATATATCTTATTCTTAGCAGAACGCTGTTTTGTTTCCTTCAGTTGCCAAATAGTTTTGTTGCTTGAATTTAGTTGATTTTATTTCATTTCTTAGGTTCACGGTGCTGCAATAACGTTATATATCGCATGGTGTCGGTGTAATTACAAATGTTTTCGTCTTTTTGTCGTCACCAGCTGGTCCAGCCCTGTATTTTGGCATTTCGTGCAACGAGCTTAAATAAGAAATCAGCTGCTTGTCGTTCTCGGTGGTGTGCACAGATAGGTTTAATTTATGGAAAGCAGGTTAAAAAGGAACCCTGCTGCACTTTATTTGTAAATGACACAATAATTGATCCTGAAGTCATAATTTTATTCTGCACATAATGGAACAAAGAGGACGGCGGACGTGGATCGAGCGATGGAGATGCATAGTCTACGCGGTGGCATTGGTGATGTTTGGGAGCGAAGCCTCGGCTCAGATCAGATATTCCATCTCTGAAGAGGTTAAAGAAGGAAGTGTTGTTGGAAACATTGCGAAAGACGCGGGGATTGATAAGGTTACGCTGAAGGAAAGACAGTACCGCATTGTTGGCAGTTCAAAGGAACCCCTTTTTCATTTGAATCAAGACGACGGTGTTCTGTATGTGAGCAGGAAAGTGGACAGGGAAGAGATTTGCGAAAGAAGACTCGATTGTGTAATAAACCTTAAAACAGTGCTAGAAAATCCTCTGGAAATCCATTATGTGACCGTAGAGGTGGTGGATATAAACGACCACTCCCCCATCTTTCCAGAGAAAGAGAAACGACTTGAAATATTTGAATCAACGATACCGGGTGCAAGATTTCAGCTGCAACCTGCACGAGACCCAGACGGTAGCCAGTTCTCTGTTCACCAGTATAAACTAAGTCACAGTGATCACTTTCGTTTGGAGTTAAAAGATAGAGATGATGGTAAAATGCCATTTCTAGTTTTACAGAAGCAGTTAGATAGAGAGGCTGCGAGAGAGCACACGCTTCTCCTTACCGCTATTGATGGGGGGAGACCGCCAAAGTCTGGGACAACGCAAGTACTGATTGAGGTACTTGATGTTAACGACAATGCACCTGTTTTTACACAAGATGTATACTCTGCTACGCTGAATGAAAACGCAGCCCCCGGCACGCTAGTCATTCGGGTGAATGCCACAGATTTAGATGAAGGAGCAAACGGTAAAATTGTTTACTCTTTTGGTAAGGAAGTAGAAATCAAACTGCAAAAACTGTTTTATATAGACTCGAGCACGGGGGAAATTAAAGTGACTGGTGAAATTGATTACGAAGAAAATGAACGCTATGAAATCGATATAAGAGCGTCTGATGAGGGGACAATCCCTTTATCAACAGACAAAAGTGTGATAATAAAGGTAATCGACCTGAACGATAACCCACCCGAGATTGAAGTCACGTCATTTTCTAAGTCAGTTCCCGAAGACTGTAGGATTGGAACAACAGTAGCTTTGATCAGCGTGAATGATTTAGATTCAGGTCCCAGTGGGAAAGTCTCCTGTTTCATACCTGAGGATGTTCCTTTTGCTATATTGCCATCT